AAAGGGGTTGACCCTCAAATTAGGGGCTCAGAGCGGTCAATATTCTTTTATCTATAACTCTCTAATGATCAATATTTTGTTATACATTACTGAGGCAAATGTATTCATCTTAACGATTTGCAACAATATATGATAATATTGTTATCATATGTTACGTAATTAGGGGTCGCAAGGGACCAAAATGCTATATTTTTTATGCTTTATATCTCGAATAGGGGGAGTATTTTCATAGGCCTTATCAAACAAAAGATGTTCAGAATATCGTGATAAAAATGAGAAACTTAAACTTTAACTAGGGAAAACTCAATGTCATTCTCTTTAAACAAAAATCTCAGTCAAAATCACATCTCATCTTATCGAGAAATTCAACGGAAGACCTACTCGTTGCTCGCAACGAGATCTCATCTAGTTATTATGTCGCCCCGAACGAAGTCGGGGACGACATATTGATATTGTACGCATGTTTTTTTTATCCAGGCTGTTTCTCGGAGATGGCTGGGACAATCTTCCTGAAACTTTCCTCAAAGGACGATCACTGGTTGTAGTTGTGCAGTGAGGTCGTTCAGTTCCAATATGTCTACCGTTGCCATGGAAACCTGTAAAAAGCGACAAATTTTGTCCGAGAGTGTTCTCTCTGGTCCCTTAAACGTTCGTCATGAAACTTTTCTTATTTTAAGGATTAGTATCTGTAGTTCTGCAACTCGTATTTAAAATTTTCATATAATCGATTATTGCCATGGAAACCGGGTGAAAGTAAAAATTCTTTAATTTCGATTTTCTCAATAACTACTCAGGCAATCGTTTTGAAACTTTCAATGTTTATTCCTTGCAATGTGTCAAAGTGATTTCTACTTTCAAAATAATTGTAATGAGTCGCTCACGGTTGCCATAGAAACGAAACAGAAAAAAAGATTCAGATGTACACATGTGTTCTCCAAGGTCTAGGTCAAAGGGTCAAAGTTCGTCGTATCCAATAAAAGTTCTTTTCACAAGGATTACATATTTGAAATACGAAAGCCCTAGTACTTACCGTTCAAACGTTATGGCTATTTACTATGTTCAAGACGACCCCCCCCCCCCCTTTTTTTTGAAGCACACAGCCAAGTAGAATACACAGATATAACATATACAACTTACAAGTAACTTTTTAAAATCTTCATTCATAAAATTCAGTTCCCGTCATGTGATATTTTGCCATCATTCATTCTCCTTCTGTTTTGTCTCTTGAATTTATAAATATTTTATTTTATCTATATAAAAAAAAATAACGATTGTCAGCTGCATTTATTATCATTTCGCGGTTTCTTGTATATCTATCACTTGTATATTATTCATTTCATTAGATAGTGCAAGTATAAATTAAAAAATTGGTACGTCATTTCCATAGTTTCTATTCATTCATAAATTCTTTGATCCGCTCCTGATGGTTCGCAAAGCCTTGATCACCACTGTATACAAAACATTCATCTCGCCGAAAATGTTCATGATTCCGCTAAACTGAGAAAGTTCACACATGATTTATCATCTCATAACACACATCAGCTCTCTGCAATGCAGAAATGCTCGAATTGATGGTGGCATGTCAGATTCGTTTTTCGGTAGAACCTCTAAAATGAAAGTGAAAGAGGGAAATTTCAGAGTTCCCACTGGCGTTACAATACACAAAATAATTCGGCTGATCTTTTTCATAAATTACATTTCCCAAGCTTTTATGATAGGAAAGATACTGCCAATTAACAAGTATGAGGCTCAGTTCAGTACATCTGCCAGATTTCGTTTATGCAAGTCTGCAAATTGAGGAACTTGTAATTTTCCTGCACTACTTTCTTCTCCTACCGATTCTAAAAATAATGAGAGGGATGTACCGAATTAAGGTCTTCCGTTTCCAATGGAAAGGACTGATATAACTCAAAGGTTTTCAAACTTAGCTTATGGACTTTTGTTTTAGTGATGATAAAAATGAAAGTCTTGTCTAATACGGGGCGACATATGCTATTGCTTGCAATAGCAGACTTTCTAGTTATTATTATTATTCTTTTTAGGGTCTTCCGCTTCCTTCGGAAGACCCTACTGTTATTCTATTGTTTCTTATTATTCTTTTTTTTTTTTCCCGCTCGACTTTTGACAGGCGATTTCTCAAAGACCTTTGGACTGATCGTTATGAAACTTTCAGGATAGATAGCTTGTAGTTAAACCTATTTAAACCTGTTTTCAGTTTTTATATGCATGCCTTTATTTGTGAGTTATTGCCCTTTAATTGAAAATTTTTGATGTCTCGTTTCCACTGAAAATCTCAAAAATGACATAAGATATTTACACGAAAGTTGGAGAACTTGTAGCCAATACATTGTAGATGTGCACAACGATAAAATTATATAGCTGATTTCTTAAAGTTTGGAAGCTATAAAACGTCAAATTTTAGTAATTTTTTTTCTTTGAATTTTTGCTACTTTTTGTGTAATAACTTTTAAACCGAGAATAATTTGGTAAGAAATATATTACAAAAGTTGTGGGTAATTACGAGAGCTTTCATATTTGATTAACGAAAAGGGGCTGGCCCCTATAATTAGGGGTAAATAGCTCATACACGCTTTTTTCTTATAGCTAAAAATATTGGTATATTATGAAAAAGTTTGACTGAAATAATTTCGAACTTATAAAATCTTGTCATTTGATATAAAAAGAAATAAACTTCCAGCTATATTTAATTGTTTTTTTAATAAAACAAGTACATGTATGTGAGAAACCTTTCAGGAACAAGTTGTCTACTATAGCCAGCCAAGCCTTTACTGCATACATGTGCACATCTTTAGTTGATGCATCTAAAAGATATAGTTTTGATTCGGTGTTTCTTTGTTTTCTTTTTATTCAAATAATTTTAAATGTGATGATGTACACAACAATAATTAGTACCTAGTTTAGAGGATTTTTTCGCGCTTGTTTGTAAACAACGCGCGGCATTGTGGGAAATAGGAAGGTACTAAAGACGCGATGTACTAAACACTGATTTGACCTGATTCAAATTTGTCTGTAAATGTTCCAAACAATTGAATTTTTGTATAGCATATGCCTCGAAGTCATAAAGTCTGTACATAAGTAATTTAAAATACTCAATATTACCATTTAATTAAAAATTAAAACGTCAGGTAAATATCAGGTCTCTAGTATATCCCGTTTTTAGTGTGCCCCTTAGAGTCGACGTCGGCCACATGTTTGCCATGGTTTACAAACTGAAAATGAATGATTTGTGAAGTTGAACATTTTCTCACAAAGAATCCGTTTGTAGACATGTACACTCATTTAATCTGCAGCTACGAAGTACTTTGTCACTTCTCTGGAACATTATTCTAAGCAGAATTATCCCTATTCATATATTCTAAGAATCTTGTGTGAATTGTTTACGAGGAAATTCTGACTGTAACATTAACAAGGATGAACACTCTGGACTCTGCTTCGGATTCCCCAGTGATAATTGTATCGAGTGATGAAAGAGCTGACGGCGACATTTTAATGTATGATTGGCTTGGACCATTGGAATGAAGGTTAGAATATTTTTATTACTTAAAATTTACACTACTGATTACATGACAGTGACATACATTGATGTTATTAGAAATACACAGACACACCGATATATTATCTGTTTTACAGTTCAGACGCTCTCTGTTTACCTTGTAAATCCCCACAGCTTTATATTTTATTTTTTTTAAATTTGAGGATGTAATTTCAACAGTCCTACTATCTATCATCAGGTCCAGGAAAATCACTAGATCCACCTATATAGCTAAAAATAGCTATCTAGGTATTTAAACCTATCACATATAGCTTAATCTACCTATATCTGAAGCTGAAATGCGCAAAATGTCATAGAATTCATAGTTAGGAATTGTCGCATACTGAGTACTAGTCAGTTGTTTACACCTGTTAACAATACTCAGTCACGTGCTAAAATTTTGTAATAAAAATGCCGCGTTTGCATGATTTTTTTCAATAAAGAGGCAGAATGTGAAGAAAAAATACTCCTGACTTGCCTTGATTAAGGTAATTTGTTTTTTCTTCTACTTATCTTTCAAAACTTGGGTTAAAATCTTGTAGCATCCTTTGTAATAGTTCATCTTCCCATGCAGCGGAAATGAAAAAGGTTGTGTAGTTGCGGAGCCGGGTCGATAATTACTTTGATGCCCGGTTTGCATCACTTATGTATGGAGGACTATTGAAGTCATAAAAATTCAAGTTTATTAGTTTCCTTATGTTTTATATCTTGAATTCATGCATAATTTTGGTTGCTTATATTTACTTAAGATGTGTTTAAAAATAATTTTTGCACTAAGTTAAAAAAAGAAAGGGGTAAGATATATGTAAGTGTGTGCTGGGGGGGGGGGGGGGGTTAATATATATATATATATATGTAGTAATTTGTGTGTGTGTGTGTGTGGGGGGGGGGGGGGTTGATATATATATATATATATATATATATATATATATATATATATATATATATATATATATATATATATATATATATATATATATATATATATATATATATATATATATATAATTCTTAAAGACCAAAATTTTTAATTACACATGTTTACATTATAACGATTTTAATGCATGTGTTTAAATTTCCAGAGAGTGTTTTGCTAAAATTATATATGGGTTATCCTGGAATCATGCTTGTCCGTCTGTCTATCTTTACGTACACATTTTAAATCTCTCATTTGTAGTATTTTATTGTAATTATACTTATACGCAATCTAAATTACTTAAATGTGGCCTGTGTAACACTTGCTGAAATTCGGAATTTTGATTCAAATTCAAATTTAAATAAAAAACAGAGGGCTTTTAGTTTTAAGAATTTTACTTTCAATATCTGAAATATGAATATTTAAAACCCGATTTGAAATTTTAATAACACTTCAATAATCTAAATATCCAAAAGCTCTTTTTCTTTAACATAAGATTTTTTTAAATAGTTTTAAAATACAAAGTGTTACATGGACCGAATGTAAGTGATTTAAAGAACGTATGACCATTATAGTAAATGTTTATATATTTAAAGCGTCGAAAAGGGCATGATAAATGTCTTTTTTTTATCGGAAACATTCTAAAAACAACAGATACCGCAGTTGCTATTTCGCAGATTTGACACCAGTCAGCATTTGACTCAATAAATGAATTGTATTTGCTGACAAGGTCATTGTATCGGCCATAGAACTTGAGAGGTGGACTTTAAACGAGACTGTTGATATTCTTGTTTCCTCAACTTGTTTGTCAGTAATATTTCAACTCGTTTTATAAATTGTTCGAAAGTAGAGCATGCTCTTCTGTATCGAATCAACTGAGATATATTCACTACGTATGCAGATGATGAAGGTATATTGCTGCATAAGTAAGGGAGGTTGACGATAGAAAAGTTAAAGTTGTCAAGTTCATCATATATATTTACGTCGTCAATATATCTTGAAGGTTGTGTTAGGCTAATTAAAGGCCACAACGATTGCAATTGTTTACTTTGTTTCACGCATAAGATCTTTTTGATGTAAACTTCATTAAAAGTGATACTAGTATCTTATTTCTTAAATGGGAAATAAATTTTAAGGTTCATCAATAGTCTTATAAGAGAGAAAAGTTTCATTTTTATTTTAAAAAATCATTAATTTATTAAAAATTTTAAAAAAATTAAGCATCTGTTGAGTATTTTTTCTACAACATTTCCTATGAATGAGCGAAGGTTTAGCAATATGAAGGTTATTCACAATGACTCTATAGTATTCAAACAAGTTCTTTTGTTTCAGGTCTGCATGCTACCATGCCTGCTGTTTGCAGTTGCAAACTACATAACGACAACAACGCTGTTGTGTACAAAATTTCTAGCAAAAAATTCAAAAAAAGTATAATCAATAAACTAGTTGAAGAAAAATTACTGAACGAAAAATCGACATATCTGTGTTCATCTTGTGCAAATTATTGCTCTGAAAATTTGATTGACAACAACACTGACACAACAGTCGATGAAATAGTTAATTTAATACATCAACAGAAACTTTCTGTGCTCCATATTAGAAAAATTCTACATGCTTTGGTGGAGAACGAAAGACAAAATATTGAGGATGACATTTGCCAGTTGAACAGTACATATAAAAATACCGAATATCTTTCGGAAGTAACTGCTGAAAACTGGTTAAAAGACAGAAACAGTTTCATTCTTTCATTTTTATCTTCAATCATTGGCAAAAACATCAATGAGCTCTCAAAGAAAGAGAAATCAAATTTGATTTTTTGTGTAGAACATTTGTATTCCCTTTTCAGAGGAAATTTAGTGCTGCCATTCAGTTTCAGCAAGAACCTACTGTCCTACTTCTTTTCTGGCAGTAGGAGTGTGTGTACTCTAAATTCAGTTGCTGGTCCAGCTGCTAGCTATCGTACTCTTCTTTCCTGGATCGAAGACCAAGCCTGTGATCCAGTAGCAGTAGATGAAAAAGCAGACACAATCACTTATTTTGACAACAATCAAATTCTTGCCAGAAGCTGGCGTGTCAATTATGACAATAAAGCAATTCTTTCTGCTATCACCACCATTGTTCACTTCTTTCCAAATACCCCAACCTTTCTACAAGAGAATCATCATCTTTCTCCGAGGAAATGGCTATATTCACAGTCATTTAACACACTTTCCTCCAATCTTTTGTCTTATCTGGAAAGATTTTCTGATTTCTTTCGATATCTTCGATCGAGTTTTATTGAAAGCCGTCTCCAGATCATTTTGAAGCAGCAGAAGGAAGGTTTGACAGGCGCCACGGATTTCATCCAGGAAGCCATCAGCCGCCGTAAAAGAGTGAAGGAAGATGAGGATACCCGCTCCAAATCCAGGATTCGTTACGATCCTTATGATTTTGTACCACATAATCATCATGGCAAACCAACGATTGTAATGGGCAATCCGGTTACTACAAACCCCTGTTCCTATGATGCTGTGAAAGAAGTCCTGACTAACATCAAAGACTCGACAACAGGCGGTTGCAGAAGGTGGACTGTTATTGGATGCGATGGCCTCCCTTATCTTATTGCTAGTAGGGTTATAAGGGAGCACAGCGACCTTCAAGATATCCTTTTGCAGCCTGGCCTGGGTCACTTCGAAATGAACATGACCAAAGGTATACAACAATACTACAATAAAAAAGAAGCATTTCTACAACATTGTATTTCTTATATACACAACACAATCTCACCCTTACACACACAATTTATATGATTTAGTTTTTTGTTTAAAAAAAATTATAAATATTCTTATTATAGCTATTATAAAGCTCATCTGGAACGTTGTTGGGGAGGATCTGGCAAAGATGCTAGGGTACAGATCGCCCAAAGCGTTACAAGCTTGTATGGATGCAAATGATCACCATAAGGCTTTCCAGTTTCTAGAAATATTGCTTTTTGGCACAGGTAGTACTATACACTAAAATATGATTGGAATAAAATATTACAAACTCTACAGTAAAATTTCTTTTCTTCTCTTACCGTGAATTTTTATTTCTTTTTTTCGACATGAAGGGGATGAATTACTATTGCCTTATGTCAGGCAGTGTTTGAGCACTGATGGCACACCGTCAGCTCAAGGATACTTTGAATGGTGTTGCAGAGTACAGGACCCCAATTACAAGTTCGAATCCAATTTTTATATATTTCATTAATACCATTTTAAAAACAATTATTTAAACGCAATAAAAATGATAATGATACCTTGCATTACATTGACAGATTTCTTCAGGAGGTCATTTTCACGTACACTCTATCTGTTTACTTGTTTCGAGCTGGTGTTCGGAGGAACAATTGTGAAGTAATAATGGCTGCAAGACTAAAATTTGCACCATTATATTTTGGCACCAACAAGTACAATTACCAGCAGATAGAAGTGTTAGACTCTTTGATGAGAGTATGTGCACCAGCCGAAGTGTCAAAATTTATAAATGACAATGAGTCTCTTACTCGTAAGTGTACCAAACTTTGTCTTCTCTTTTTCCAAAACATGTTACATCGAAGTAATATGAATAGAAAAAGTAGAAAGACTTTAAAATAAATTTTTATAATCATTTTTATAGAATCAGGACATCCAAGTAAAGGTGAAGGATGTGATTTCATCCTCGAGTCGAGAAATAAAATGACCAAAAAATGGCTACCTCCAGGCGCGCCTAAGGAGAAGCACTGGAACCAAGCGTGTAGAAATCTTGACAAACTAGAAAAGGTTTAAATACTGTATATAATGTGCACTTTGCATTTTTATTGCACCATTTCAAACAATTAACAATTTTTAACAACTAATGAATGACATTACAAATGATTTGGACAAAGAAATTTAACTTTTTTAAGAATCGTCTTGTTTGGAAACGTGAATCCAAGACATCGATCATGAATCCAGTACTGGCATCGGCGTGACTTATGGTCGCAGCCGACCCAGTACCCCTTCTCCTCCTCAGAAAGGCAAACATTGCACTGCTTGGTAAGGCCTGCAACAAAGGAGGAAGTCTGGGTACTTTTACTGCAGGTTCTGCATGCTGGTGTTGTGGCACTGATTGATGCAGCTGGTGACCTCCGTCTTTTACATTTACGGGGAGAAGGGGAGGAGGTTAAAGATATAGAAAAGGATGTAGAAGGTTGTGGGGAGGGATAATTGAAAGCAGAATGTACTGTTACTTGGGTAGTTATTTTAGTTGGGGAACAAGGTGGGGAGGAGGGTGGAGATGAATCGTCAGATACTTCTGCAGTGTGGGAAACAGAGGTGGGATTGGTTTTAGACAGAGTGCTAGGATGGGATGTAGAAGAGGTGGAATAGGATGTAGAAGAGGTGGAATGGGATGTAGAAGAGGTGGAATGGGATGTAGAAGAGGTGGAATGGGATGTAGAAGAGGTGGAATGGGATGTAGAAGTTGTTGGGCGTGTCGAAGATGTGGTTTGGGAAGTGTGCGCTGAGTGCAAAGAAGTATTAGGGGACAAGACGGATTTTACAGACTGTTTGAAGAAATAAATGAAACTTTTTATTTAAAATTAAAGAAGTTTGATTCAATTTAAAATTACCAGACATTGGTATTACGGACTATAAAATATGTTACCTCCTCAAAAAAGGGTGTATTCCAGTGGCACATTTTGCCTGACGGTGCTCTTATTAATATAGCTACCTCACACTTAGTAGTAGTGAATAATTCTTTGGCCTGAAAATATAGTATTAAATTTAATAAAGCTTCTCCCTCCCTTCTATCTAACATACTACTAGTATATATCTCCTAACACTTTATTTTATTTATTTTAATCATTTCAGATCGTTACACGTATGTTTAATTTAACATAAT